GGCAACCAAGTCCAACTCTACAATGTTTGATGCAGCTGCAACTACAATGACTTGGTAATGGGCAACCACAAGGGAACCCCCAAGGAAGGCTTGGAATTCGGAATTTGTTTTACTACATTAACTTACTTCTCTGGTCCTACATCGCCTGGGCACCAATGTCCAGTTCAATGGATTGGCTGCACCACATCAATGGAACAACTCTAGAAACAGGTGATGAGCAAAGGAAGAACACCCTTCTCATTAAGTAAGATCCACTGACCAATAATTATGTTCAAGATTTGATCAAGGAAACAGTAAACAAAAAGGGTTCTGCCAAATTAAATTTGTGAAAAATAACATTTCTACGTTGTTACTGATTATAACTGCAAAAGAACTAATAAAGAACTGAAATTGAATGGTAAACCTGGTACCTTTACCTGTTCCATAATCACTTGTCAAATTAATTGCTTTTTTTTTTTCATTCTCTATGACTCCTTATATGTGTCCAGCAACCTTCTTCCCAGTCTCCACTCAGGGAAAGCAAAATAACACAACCCAAAATGATAAATGAAGTTCAAGAAAGACTCCATTAGATCGAACGGACAGATGAATAGCATATTTTGTATATAACAAACCTCTTCAGCATCTCCACAAGCAGCAGCAATTTCATGGAAACTGATTTTCTGTGCCACTGATAATCCAACCCCATGAAAGGAGATCAGTCTTTTTTCTCCAATTTCTTTCTCAACCTGTGAACAGACATTGCTGTCAGAGAAGAAATAGACAATGTCATAAGGGATACACAAAGGACAAATCTGTAGTAAGAACATACCTGGGGTGGAGGGGGCATAATGTCATAGCACAATATTGCTAAAGGATATATATGACCAGGTACACCAGCATTTTCCATAATCCTTCTCATGTTGTCCAATGAAGAAGCATCAAAGGGTGCCTAAACCTTTTATATTAGTATGAAAAGAACATGATTGAATTACAACAATAGGAAAAGGCTGGTCTAAATTGAATCACAGTGGCAAAAACAAAGACACAGGGTTTTGGTAAGTCAGACCATGAGAACAAGAGAAACACCCTACAAAGAAAAGAACATTCTGCACCTCACCCTCTCTACTCTCTCCGCATGTGGGCAGGGTGCTGGTAGGGTGGGTGTGGGTGATGTCACAGGCTTATTACACCCAACTCTGATAATAATTATGCCACCATGGACACAAATTGAAAACTCTTGAGAAGCCATCAAATTGATCAAAAAAGAGAGATCAATTATCTTTTTAATTAGGTGGGAATCACCTGTTTGTGAGGTAGATGTACTATATTTGTTGTAATTGTGAGGATGTATATGTTCTTTCAATCATAAAAAAAAGCCTCTTGGGCAAGCGTGTAACAGCATGTGTCTATAACAATCCCAATCCTGTGTCCACAGTTTGTCATGTTTGATAAATATACTTCGCATCTTTCTTTTTTCCCAAAGGTAAATGAGGAAAAAATCATACCGGATACAAATCCTTTGTGACGGTGTCTGGGCGATCCCTTCCACCACTTGGTGCAATCCATATTATTTTCGATCCACCCCTGGGCACGAAGTGCAAATAGGTTCATTAAAATAATTTGCAGATTATGCATTTTCAGAAAACAAACCAACTAATTGATTGCCATAGAAACACGGAGTAAAGTAAACATTTACCAGAAAAGAGGAAAAGAGATAATTGAAAACATGTAAGCTCAAATATTTTCTTGGAACTATGCATCAAAATTCACAATTTGACATAGTGCAGCTTAATTTATTTGGCTAGTCACAAAAGCAAGAATTTGGGAACGAGGCTCCCTACCTAGAAGGGCAAAACATATCCCAATTAACCAAGTAACCATTTCAGGAATCATCCATACCCAAATACTCAAAAATCTCAGTTTTATTCTCGCAATCTTCAGAAATATGCAATGATAGAAAGGGTAGGAACATTGACCAAAAATGATAAGCTGAGAACATTTCTCCATGCCAAGAAATATGCCTCCATTTCCAGTCAAGTGTTGCTGATTTTCACCTTTATGGAAGACAGAATGCACCTCCTCCTTTGCCTTCTAAGGGAAGACAAATGTATTTCATGATCCAATCAACACTTTCACACTGAAAGGAATCTGTTGCCACATGCAATTCGCTATTTTTGGGTTGATTCTCACTGGAGTACTGGTTCTGGTTCGCTTCAGGCCCCCTTTTACCACATGCAATTTGGTATTTTTGGGTTGATTCTCAATGGAGTCCTTGTTCAAGTTCACTTCAGAGCATCAAATGCTCATCATACATTTCAAACAATAACCTGGACATTAAAAGTTCTTCTCTTCATTCTCGAAGTTGAGTAATGGTCCCGCCTGCAAATGGAATTTAACACTCAAAAGTTCACACTCTACCAACCTAAGACATCATTTACTAAATGCAACACATCCACCTCAGAAATGAGTAAAATGGGTGTTGTTGCCTCTCCCAATGGAAACCATGACCACCATTATAATCCCCATACCAGAACAACAATCTAGTGAATAATCAGCGACCCTTAATCTTTCATAACCCACTTTAATCACCACTCACTACAACTTGAATACCCACAGTTATTCCATCTTCTCACCCTATAATCTTAGTAGGGAGCCCTTATAAAACTACTCATGATATCAATGTCTGCCCCAGAGCATCCTGCATAAAAATTAATATAATTTGTGCACCTTCACAATAAAATGCTGAATTTGTTCTTATAGCTAATGATCAAAGGAAAGACTGGAAGGAGATTCAAGAGTAAAGTATGGAGAAGGAATATGATCATTTTCATGATCCCTCTCCAGAGATTCTTGCATCCCTTGAGGTGTTGGGGCAAGAAAGGATGGATTCGTTCATGCACTTCCAACCTTTAAAGTGGTTGCTTGCAAAGATTTTAAGTACTTCAAAAAAGAAACTCAACAGTAAGCAATACACACATCAATTGAAGAATAGCAGTGATATCTGTACCTCAAAAGCATAACCATCTCCTTTAAACTTCTCATATTTGCCCTTTTTTTCATCTCAGCAAGCTCCGGAACATCATACATGTGATTTTTTGAATAAACGCATAAGAGATTCCTAAGATTGTAAGAAGTTGGACTCACGAAAACTTTATTAAGAAGAAATAGGGAATTATAGGATACATGCATTTGTACAGAAGATCAAGAAACTTTATGAGCACCGTCCCATGCTGAAAGGCTTGCAAAGAGGATCTGTTATAATTCTATCTCCAGCCACATAGATCTGCATGACAGCATTTAAATCTTGGTGAAGCAGTCAATTTCAAAGTTACAAGAACTATAACAAGAGCAGCTTAAGGGAAAAAATATCATTGTCACCATGTTCTCAGCAATGTGTGGATTTTTTGCTTCAAGCAGCAATGCAATAACAGCTGGATCTGCTTCAGTTTGATGATTGGAGAACAAAATGACATTGTCACCCTGAATTTAATGGTATAGCAGAGCGAAAACCATGAACATCAAGAACAAACATGAAAGCCATGTGATAGAGCACCACTTTAATCTAAACAGAAGTGATGAATGTCTAATTATGCAGATGATCCCTAACTCCAACTTCTTTTAAGGTAAGTAGCACTCGTAAATTTTTCCTCTTTGGTCCATGATCACTAATAGAAATAAGCTTCAAGTTAATAAGGAAACTGGTAATGATGTATAACATATTACCTCACAGGGAACTCCCACCAGCCAGATTCGCTCAATCAATGATGCTGAATTAGCAGTAATAATTCTACCTACCAACCAAGTTTTTCCAGCACATATAGTCCAGTATTATTCATTGGTCGCACTCTGTATTAAGTTATAGTATTTACTGATTTTAGTCGATATATCATTCCAAAACCCTTTCCATGTACCATTTTTGGTAGATCGTGTTTTTTTTACAGACAAGTGAGTCAATTCTGGTGGGCAGGGGGTCAAGATAAATGTAAAGGGAGTATCAACTTGGAGCCAAAAGCAGGAGAGAGAGAGAGAGAGAGAGAGCACTTCACAACTTTTCTGTATTGGACAATTTAGACAACTGCAGTATTGTGAATTCGTGTTGTAATATGGCTTAATTCAATGGGTCACCACACATGTACAAGCAATGTACACATGGGTTAAACTACTGTTTAAATTTTACATGTTCCATTTGGGATTAAATACGCAACCATACTTGGTTGTATACTGATATGATGTTATCCTTACTGGCTTCATAAATTCCCCAAAACACCAGATCGTCAAACTTGTTGCTCTATCTTCCGTGTTTATGCATATGACTATATTAGCACCACTAATTCTTAATGGCATAAAAAATGTAGGTTGTTTCTTCTCGAATAAAAAGAAATATGATGAGATACTAAAATAAATGAGCAGGGAGAAAAAGCAGATCAATGCAGGTGGGATGACAAGTCGATCTAGTTTTTGCAATAAGAAAAGGAATTAACAAGCCTTATGGTTAATATCGGCATCAGTTTTATGCTAGTAGTACTTAGTCATGAATTAAGCTAAACAGAAGCATCTAAACTTCCAAAGTTATCAAAGTCATAGTGGAAACTGTGGAAAGTTTCTACCAGAAATGGCAATAGTTTTGCATGACAAGAAACCAATGATTTAGTATATGAAAGGAAAAGTGATCATTTGTCAAAGAAAAAAGATGAAAGGTTAAAGAGAAAAAATGAAATTATTTTATATGTTTACACTAAGAACTCTCACATAAATAAAACATCTATTGATGAAGCATGGCAGTAGGGTTTTGCACTACCAATGTAGAGTTTCCAAATTAGAAAATATTTTAGTGTAAGATTTCCAAATTCACTTTGATCCGTTCATCACAGCAAAACTGCTGGGTAAAAACTCAAGAATCTCATGATGTTGTTGCACAAAAATAGTGAGGAAGGAAATAGTATCTTCAAATCCACAACCAATGGTACGTGGAAAACCGGAAGGAGGGAAGACAGGGGGTTATGGACCAGCATGAGTCACAGCTAGTATTGACAAAGAACTGTAGCATAAGAACACCAAATGTAAATAAATGAAACACAAATATTAGGCACCTGCTGAAGCTTCTCTTCCATTTCACGGAAAAGGGAGATGTTGCCAACATATGAACTCCTGAAGATTGGAACGACCAAGGTTACAGGCAACAATGAATACCTCAATTCGCAACATCGTACGAGAGTAATAATATATCATTCCAATTAACCATATGATTATTAGCTAGTCAAAGAGTATACACCTGATTTTCCCAGTCTACCTCCTAGCACACCAGATAGTGACCCTTTCCTGTTAACTCAAATATTCTAAATGTTAACCAGGGACCGCTAGTTGGGCGGGAAAAAAACCTGGGCAAAACTGGAAATCCAATGGTCTGCAGCCATTTGGACTGTTTGGGTTGGGTTCAGTTGGCTGAAAAATCTCAACTTGACCCGAATTTTAGTCTACATTGACTGAAGTACAATGAAATCCAAACCTAACAAAAAGTACATACATCCCTACATAGATTATCACGGGAAACGCTACGTACATTTAACCTCCCCAAAACTCGGAGTATCGAGAGCCTCCTAGATTGGGCTGTCATATATAAGGCATATAGTTTTCCAACGACTTTTGTCTTTCTTGCAGCATTCCTAGTTCCCATTAAGCTATACCTCATTCTCAAAGTCTCAGTCACATTGTTTCTACAAGTCTATGCCTCCATTACCCCCACAGCACCATATTCTCCCTTTCTCACCCCCCCCCCCCCCAAAAAAAAAAAATAAGTGGCCAAGTGAACAAGGCTCCTATGGAGAGGAAAAAACAACATAAAAACATTCAAAAAATGTATCTACATGGAAAGACAACCGAGTGCAAATTCATTCCTGTCAATTGTAGCTGTTAAGAGAGCTTGTATTTCACATCGAATAGTTAGGACTACCAAGATTGATTTATATACTTGAGTGGCCACCTTATCTATGGCCTATTTGTTTTGGGTTGAGTGCTCTAACATGGTATCAAAGTTGGGCCTTGGGTAGTCAGCAGGCCAAGTCTCTTACCCATTTGAATTTTTTGGTATGCATAGTTGTTTGTTTGCTTGTTAATCCTGCGTGCGAGCCCGGGTCCCACGTGAGGGAGGGTGTTAGGAGTGTTTTTATCCCACATCGAATAATTAGGACCACTAAGGTTGATTTATATAATTAAGGGGTTACTCCACCCATAACCAATTGGTTTTAGGTTGGATGCTCTAACACCACCTAGGTAGAATATGATACTCTCTTTTGAGATGATTTCTTTCATTCTTCAACTACCTTCCTCCATGTAGATTTCATTGATTAATGAACATGAATCATGTGACTGATTGGGATAATGTAGGCATTTTTTATCTCCCAGGTCACAAACTCCCACTACTGATGGAGACAAGGGCTGCCTTAGTGAGATTGTATTCTCATAGGGGCTCATAAAGTGACCTAAAGTGGGCAGAGCATGTAAGGACCTGGACTATATTTTGCAGCCATAAATGTCTACCCAGTACTCACTGAAGTCAAAGCCATTCAATAAATTTCACTAACGTGACAAAAAGCACTCACCTGAAATCTATCAAAGGATGGATATAGCTCTGGACAAACATGTAGTAATCGAAAGGATTTCGAATGGCCTTGTGGTATGGCAAGAATTATAAGGTTCCTGAAAATTTACTGATAGATTTAGAGCAGAGGCACATGCTAGAGATGCAGAAATTGCATACATGTCAACAATTAACCATAAAACTAGAACAAATATATGAAGTCCAGTGATACCTTCACATCCATGAAGATACGGTCAAGTGCAACAGCCATGTTAGATAAAACAATCTCTTCGGCCTGAGGATTTTTGCTCTGAAAAACCTGAAAGGTGAAAGTATGCCATAGAAATTACAGAATGTATAAGCATGCAAGAAAAAATAAAGATATGGTTCAAACACGAATTATGATGGAAACCTACACAATACAAAAGCAGATGCTTAATGCAATTCACAATTACTTATAATTTTTGGGAGCTCCACAAATAAATACAGGACAAAACAAAATTTATATTCTAAGAAGAAAGTGCATAGGACTCCACTTGTACAATGCTGAACAATATAAAGAACATGCTACTCAACTAAAAAACTCAACAAGATAACTCTCTGTAACTCATTGTTGAAGCAGACAACCTTCAAATGAACATAGTCTCGTTTCCAACCATTGATTGTTTACTTTCACTTGCGGGCTTGTCCCATTATTAGGAACTCATTGAAAACATTCTCCAGTTATGGAACCAAATCTCAGCAATTTATACAATCCATAATGATAATGATACTAATAATGGTTCATGATTTTAATCCCAAATCCAGGAGCCTGGAGGGAAATATTTTGTAGGGCCTAATATCAAAGCACGTGCATCACACCAAGTTAGTTTTTGTTTGGCTTTGCCCCTTATTCTGTGCTACTATTAGTGGAACATGGAAAAGCAGTTATCAATGAAAACAACAAAGTGGGAAGCTTGCTTTTGACATGGCAAGGGTCAATGGCCAAGAGGGTAAAAAAAAATAGGAGACGGCTTTGAAATGAAGTCCCCATTAATCGCATACAAAGGGTTGCCAAGAATGAGATATTTCACAAATTTGGTACCAGTAAATCAACCATATCATATTAATGAGAAACCACTCAAACTAAATTTTCTAGGTTCTATCTCTACATCAATGTCTTCATTATTAAGAAGGGGAAAGTTAGAACAAGTACCAACTACAAAGAAACGGATTAGAAATGGCATTGCATTCAACCTATATAACAAGAGATCTTTTCAGCTTGTACAGCCACCATATTACCTTTTATGTCACCCATGACAGCTATATTAAGAGCGTTGTTGGCTTTACATCCTTTCCCGCTAGAGTTTTTTATGGCTCAACATAAGTACTCACCGTGTCAATATCTCTATGCCTTGTAGCACATGTAATCGTACTGTAGGTATTATTTGGTAATGAAAAAATGTGCCCAACTTAGGTAACTCAAGTCAACAAAATTAATAGAACTTATGCATAACAAAAACCTATAGTTATGATTCGTAATATTTTTCTTTAATATCTCATTTTCTTCATCATGATGGATAAAGCCAACTCAAGCGCTTTCTTTTCTTTTTTTGTTTCAACTGAGTGTTCGAGCCAGCTTACACGCACCTCGACTAATCCCCTCCCCAATCCGGTCAAAGGCAGGTCATCCACGCTGAGACTAAGGTATTCATTAGGGGATAAATCTCTCATTGCCTAATCCAAAAGGGTTGTTATACTCAGGACATTTTAGTTTACATCTAGTCCCTCTTACCACTTCCTTTTCTTTTATGTTCGGCTAGTTTGTAGAGAAAATAGACCTCCATACATTTATCAAAGTGTACTCTATTTTAGTAGGTATAGCTCCCGCTGTCATTCCTAGGATGAATACCAATGGGATTGCCTTTTCTGAAGCCTGAATGGCATCAAAAAGCTTCCGCTTTCCTCACAACGGACCAACCATAAAGTGAGTAAAAAATGATGGCCTCCAAAATTCTCCCTAAAGACACTGTTACAATGCGTGGGATGCGATATCCCCAACTTTCATAGGTCGTGGTTCAACCTCCTATTGAGAATTGAGGTCGTTGCATGGGGAAACCAGACATATTTTTTTGTTTGTTGTTTTTCTTATACTAAGAAGCTTGTAGGTTCTATGCCAACCATACGTAGCTTAAATTATGATTGCCATAATGCCTTAGCTATTTACCGATTTCCAAGAAGCCTTTGGTTGAATATTCACACCTATCCTCCTTCTACAATTCCTACGAGGCTACAACTGAAAACACATATTGACTTAACACTTCTTAGAGCTTGTCACACACCAACATAATAACACCTCCTAAACTAATATGTGAGCATTATGGCTAGGATTGGGGAGAATTTGGCTAGGATCAATAAAATCGATTTTTCAATGGTGCACTTGTTGTCTTTGAATTTGTCTTTCTATTATCTGTTCAAGTGCAAGTAGGATTCACGTACGGATGACTATTAGAGCTTGTCCAACACGATAAAACAATACATTTCAAACTAATATATGAGTCATGCAGGCCTTGGGTACTTGTTGTTTGTTATCTTATAAGAGTGTTGCCATGGAAGATAACTAAGTGGAAAGGGTGACCTTGAAGAATATAACTAAGAGGAAAGTCAACCCTACACTCTGGTCCGTACCAATGCTAGAGTGCTAAAGCATGTGGAGCAAACAATATTAGAGATGGATCAATGGCTTCTAAATAAAAAAACTAAAACATTGATTGGGGAAACCTTGACTGAAACTTCCGACCCTTTAGGTGGCAAAAGGGTGAGGTAAGGAGTAGTATGAAAGCAGCTCATTCATCGATAAACCTCTCCTTATTCATTCAATAGGCTAAGGCTCCCATTCAATGTGCGAGATCAAAGTTTTGTATGGTGAAGTAGCGATTGAATCATCCACTTTAGTTAGTCAATTGATTTTGAGCTAGATGTTTTAACAACACTGATACAACAACTAGGTTGTTCGATGTATTTTGTTGGTTTGTTATCCAAAGTTACTTCTTCATTGATGCTGGAAATTTGAAGGATTTTCATTTATTTACCATGAAGAAAATAACGAGATGAGATAAAGCACAATTCACTGCACCAGTATCACTCCGTGGAGGAGTGACAGTGAAACAATATGGCATGGCAAAACCTAACAGACGACAAATTAGTAGATCAAAAAAAAAAAAAGTACAATCCTATAAGCTAGAAAAAAAAATGGCCACCAAGAATTACTTGTTAGTTGTTACACCAATATAGGTTTTCAATTCTGGATATTAGCTCCATTATTAATTAATTGTTTACAGGACATGATATTTTACCACTACTAATATAGTAAAACAATCTGATTTCTAACTAGCATGATAATAAAATTAAAAATGAATCTTTCATTAGGTATGTCCAAATAAGAAAATGAAGGAAGGCATTAAAACCCAAAAAGAATGTTTCCTAAGAATAAAGACCTAGCCTCGGGCCTAACAATTAAAGCATAGGACCCAATCAGTACACAATAGCTAAGAAAGATGCATTACAGCGTGAGTCAAAGCATTAATTTACTGCATCTCAATAACTATATGGCACAAGCTTTACACCAGACCTAAGACAGTAAAATACAGTACGAGTGCAAGGTAATTAATTTACTGCATTACGATAATTCTGGTACAACTCCTCCATCCCCTGCGCAACATTTAATGGTAGCCTTCCAGTTGCTGATTCTTTTCTTATGCCAAAAAGCAGATCTGTAAAATTAGATTTCAGTAAGATGGGAAACCAAATGCTGTAGACTTAATTTCCATGAGAGAAATCTTGCAATCAAACAAAGAATGACACAAGTCAACAACAATATTTAGAGGAGTTCACGCGGATAAGATCTTGGTCAAATAATAACAATTTTTTGTTGAGAAAGTTCATCATCAACTTTGAAAACTACCACCAACCACACAACCAGGTAAGCGAACGTAAATCCTAACTGAAAGGAATGTAATATGACAAGTACAACTAACGTGATTCTATGTAGTCTAGAAAACTTGCAAAATGTCATGCAGACCGAAGATATACACAAAAGGCCAAAGAAAATTTAGCACCAGAAAGAGATTCATCGAGCTTACAACAAAACTACCATAGGATATAAACTTCGAAAGGCAAAAAAAATTGTAAGCATCATCATTCGTTAATGGAGGAACCAGTATACATGTTTAACTATATTCACGACCTGTGGATTGAATTCAAGGATTTTAGACCTGACGCAATTGATGCATCAACAATCTTTTAGAGCACTTTGTTCACACAGACACAGAGAGAGATTTGCAGCATAGAACTGACAACTCGGATTTCATGTTAATTCCCTCAAGATCCAAGTAAAAGACATCAAAAGCAAGTACACTTGTATTGTCAGTGCAGTATCCCTAAGAAGTTGATTGACCAAGGAAATCAATAGAGGAAACAAACCGAAACCTAAAAGAGCAACAATATATCAATTGGATAAGGATACAAAACTTTTGCAACTTCAGTTTCATACCCAGTTAAGTAGACTAATGACAAGTCTTAAAAAGTAGCATTGGTAAACCAATGACATCCATGGATGGTAGATTGCTTTGAAAACTGATCCAAAATAATTAAAAAAACTGAAGCCGATTAATGACAGAAACTAGCAAGTTAAGCATGCATATCTGTTACTCGAATCACCAAATATAACATTCCCCTCACTCTCCACAGTCCAGACGGCATCTGGAGGAACAATAATTCATGATTGTCCCCCACTATACCCAACCAAAAAAAAAATGCAAACAACATGCTCGTCAGAATACCATTCACTCAACAAATCAGATTGGACCAATTTCCCCAACTTGGATTGAACAGCAAAATGTCATATTTTTCAATTTTAATATTTAGACTTTTTGTACTTATTTGGAACCTAAATATACTCATCATTCTTATATTTTGATTTAAGACGCAAATGGAGACGTTAAATGTAAAATAAAACTAATTGGACGATTGTGGAGTTTCAACATTGCTTCATAATCTGGGCATAACTCTCTCATCCGAGCTCCGATTGAGATGATTCAAGATACTATGGAATGCCAAAGAAAATCTCTACAACTTTCATGTTTTGAGTTTTAAGAGATATTGACCGCATCGAGGGAAGTGTTGAAGGCAAAAGAATAAATATGGAGTATTATTGTGCAATTTCTAATTTTTAGGCAGTTTGATCTATGGAGTTTCAATTGAGGTTTGGATAGCGTTAGAGTTTCAGACTGAGAAAGTATTCTTCTTGATTGGAGTTGGATTCCTTTCCGAACTAGTAAACTTCGGTGGGTCATAACTTGAGTTTACGAAATCCAAATCAGGTGATTCAAAAGCCTAAATTTATCTACTCATTCAGGGCTACAACTTTTATGAAGAGCCCAAATCAAGATTCAGTCGTTATCTAATAGAAAAACATATCACAAGTTCCAGTACGATTTCTGTCAAAAATTTTTGATAAGGAATACCTATAATGTGGGGGTTTGAGTTGTACACGTTTTGAGAGTGTGATATGTTTTCTATATTTATTTAAGGAGAGAGAAAGAAAGAAAAATCAACATAATATAGAGGTTGTTATACCCCTTCTTCTCTAACTCTTTCTTCTAGTTTTCATGAAGACCATGTGTGGCTAAACTATAATACTTGATCTAAGGAAACGGAAGCTTCAGAATCAATAAAACTGTGAGATCTAATTTATTTTTATTGTTCAATTTATGATTTGCGTATTGGATGTTTTGTTGTACCTATTTTTATGATTGCATCGTTTAATTACTAGGAGGCATACTAGTTTATTATTCGTTGTAATCTACTGCTGGGTTAGATATCAAATCTGTAATTGTTTGATTCCTCTAATTTGTGAAGCAACTAAGATTTAATGATTTGCTGCATCAGAGATTATTAGATCTTAGAAAGAACATTCGACTAAATTAAATGCATCCGCTTGTGCTTGTGTTGTTTAGTTTCATCGATCTTTCTAATTCTTAATGATGCTACTAGATTAAACTTTTAGTATTTGTCTTGGGTTGTTTAGTAGTTAAGGTTAATTAGATCGCTTGTTTTCTAATTAATTGCGACTAAGGAAAGATAGGAAGATAGTTTCAACGGTGAATATTCAGATAATGAAATGATATATACTTGCATCGATGATCAGTTGTAAATTAAATTCCGATGGTAGATGTTGACTTAGACCAAGGTTTGTTCTCTTGATTGATTTCGATACTTTAATTTGAATTATTCTTTAGTTGTTTTTCTTAAAATTGTTTTTGTTAAAGTCAAATGCCCTTCCATTTATTTTTAGGAGTATAGGTTTTATTTTTGGTTGTCAGCATACCAAATATTGGCACCGTTGCTGAGGAAGTTTTTCTAGTTGATTTTTTTTGTGCTTCTTGTAATCCTTATTCCGTTCTTGAAATTTTCGGAAAAAAAAAATTACTTTTTGATAGTTATAGTCATTTATTTTCTTTACTCTTGATTTGTTTTTCATTATTTTTTAGAGTTTCCTTGATTGTTTATGACAAGGCCCGCGTAGGGAAAGGAAGTATAATTACTTCTTTGGAGAGAATAGTTACAAAATGTAAGTATAATTAATTCTTGTGTATCTATCCCGATTATCTCTCTTCCACGTGCTCTAATATTTTTGGACTCCTTGAATCTTAGACTAGGTCAAACTGATAAACCGGACTTGAGCTATCTTCGTAGTGGATATAGACTTGTTTGATTTACTGGATTTTACCCAAATATAGACTCGTCAATACAGTTAGTTTAATTATAGGAAATCACCTCTTACTTGCCAACATTGTCTTTATCACCAAAAACAATAACAATAACAATAACAATGCCTTTATCAACAATGCCTTTGTGTTTTTTAGAAACACAAAAAAACAAAATGAACCCTGCCGAAGATAATGATGTTTGATTTGTAGCATGCGCTGTGCACCGTGTGATAAGTTCATAAAAACATGTAAAACATGAGTTATTAAGAGAGAATATTCAATGTAATGTGTTAGTTCTCAATCGTTGATACGAACTCGATACAAAACGATTATAAAATTGATATAATTATTAAACACGCATAATAAATAATTTAAAGTAATGTTTAATACTCAAAACATACTAAATAAATTATTTTTTTTGTGAGACTTGACACAAATACGACACGAATAATAATGACACAACATGAATAATATAATATGTAGGTCACACGAATACGACACGATTGACACCCTTAAATATAATAGTGATAATACATTATTATTATTACCGGGTAATATCACAGTATAATAAAAACCTATCAATCATGCAACTAAATTTTACATAATCTAAATAACTAGATCATCTATATAATGCAATGCAAAGAAATTAAGTTTATTTGTCTATTTATTATTTTTTATGTGCGTGCTAGATCTTGCACAATATAAAAACGAGAACAGATCTCTCCCTTGGTGAACTCGAGTGAGTCAGTTGAGTGGTCAACCACGCTGCTTGGAACAGCCTGTGAGATCCGGTGATAACCTGGAACGGTAATGGGAGACCCTCGCTGATCAAAGGAACGATCCAGTAAGGTTGAAGAAAGGTTCCTGGAACAAAGAAGAACAAGTTAGGAGAGCGTCAGAGTATTTTTCGGCGTATCCCCTCCGACGATCAAGTCAATTTTTTAGAGAGAGGAAGAAGAAAACACTGAGTATAATTTGTAGCAAAAGTTTTTCACCTCTTTCATTGCATTTAGTGAGGAGTATTTATACCTCAAATACTCATGATTGCTGTCAGTGTGGTCAGTAGGTGATCATTAGATACAGGCAACGTGCGCACTGATTCCTATGAGGAATGTCTTCTCTTTTAACTGCTCGGGACCCCGAGCAATCAAGACTGTGTCATCGGCCCACCGACGGTTCAATGAGCTCCTCTCGGGGAGGATGCAATAAATGCCCAGCCTGAGAGACATTTATTGTCTTTCACTTCCGAGCCTTACCGCATTAAATGCAGTCTCATCAAGGGAATGGTGTAATTAAATGTTTGTCTTCCCAAGTCGCATGTCAGCAAGGTCATGCGGTCTTTCTGTCTCTGATGTGACACAATATGCCACTCGTCCATTCCTCATTGGCTGTGGCCCCTGCCTTCCTGTGCCTTCTGACACCAATTGTGTAAGACGAGGTCATGATAGCTAACCTAGTCTAGCCTAGGCTACTGACCAGTGCATCAATAGCCTCTGCTGGAGCAGAGAACGACATCCTGGACGAGGGGGGTACATCTCGGTACCGAGGAAGAGGAACATCTCAGAACCGAGAGGGAGAGCCTAGCGACCGATGTACCATATCAGACCGAGGGTACGTGTCAGTACATAAAAACGTACTGGATGTCACTCGATCCCCATAATCAGCACCTCAGGGGGAGAGGGGACTTGTAACCCGATAGGTACGTGATCTATATAACAAGGATTAATGACACTGAAAACACGTGTCTTCATTGCAAAGACTATAATTAGCTACTAGAACGTTGATACTTAAGGTTAACGACATGGTTCTCAATTTCTCTCTCTCTCTCTCTGGCGCCCACCGCACAGATATATGAAGCCAGGTGCACTGAGATATATTGTCACGTACTTTCTGAAAAGAAGGTCAGTGCTCAGTAATGGCTAATGGGTATTTTCGGTTTATTGGTGGTGATAGGTTTGGTAGAGGTACGTGGGTTAGGCGGAAGTGCAGTTGGTGACTCTTTGTGACGTTTTTTTTTTTTAGTGATTACGGATGTTTGGGTCACTTTATGTACATCTTGCTTATTTTTTTTTTCGATTTGATCAAAGACATATCATTCACACCAAAATTATGATATTTCATGAAAAATAAATCACTTATAACTTTAACCCTAAAAAATAGTCAAGATTCGAACTTAAAACATTTAGGACACGTTTGGTAACGTTTACGGTTTTTTGATTTTCTAAAAAACGAAAAACAAAATCAAAAAAAATAAAAAACGTCTTTTTCTCGTTTTTGAAAATCGTCATTCGTTTACAAAACGATGACAGAAAAAAAAAAAAAAAAAGAGTTATCAAACAAGTTTTTTTTTCTTGTTTTCTCTAAATATCAAAATAAAAACAAAAAATGAAAAACACAAACGTTACCAAATGAGACCTTAATTTATAGCTCGTTTCTGTTACCACTTAAATAACTGTTGAAATTCTTTGTGGCATTTGGAAGAGTGAAACTGGCTGTGGTTTGTGATGATTTGAGCTTTGTGTGTATGTGATGAGTTTAGTAAGGATAGTGATTGGGGTGGTGAATTCACTGGCGGTGGAACTGTTCAGAGAACGTTCAGAAGAATAAAAGAGAGATTTGAACATATGAATTGTGATGCTTGGACACACCATTAATTTTTTTAATTTCGCCTCTTTTTATCTTTTGAGCAAGCAATAAAGGAGGAGTTACGTCGATATTCTAAATAAAGTTGGATATATCTCCGTTGCTTACATGAATCGTGGCTAAATGAGACAAATTCATAACATTGTGAATAGCTTCTGAACTACTCAAAGATGTGTTTTTTATACTAATACAGGGCATTTCACATCTCCCTGTAATCAAGTAAATATCAAATAGCAGGGTACAAATTTCATGTGTGATGAGCTTGACATAGCTAAAAATCTAACAAGAAAGGAAAATCGATAATCCCAAAACTCTCTTGCCATCAAAACTCACGGAAACAAAATTATTGAAGGCATAAAGTCACCCTATTTATCCAAGGAAGTTCATAATCACCAAATTGCCAAGAACAAAATCTGCAAAAGCACGCTCGGGTGGTAAATCCTGCAATTTAATGGAAAAAGATGTCAATAAGTTGAATTAAAATTTGTTGAAGCAGCAAGGTTATTCCTTTCATCTTCTGCTTTTGATTGAAGTTTTGATGGCTCAGCATCATGCCATTGAATTCTATAATGGAAGTAATGTAACCTCTTCTTGCGGAAAGGAAGAAACACGTGTAAAAGTGAGAGTTGCGCACTACTTCATGGCCACAATCCATGTCATAAGTTTTTACAGATTCTATTGCTAAGCATAGGCAAGTCATAAGTTTTAACAGATTCTATTGCATAGCATAGGCAACTAAGGTATATAACATTGAACCAACCATTCAACTCGGCAATGCTCCTCCAAGAGGTATAGTAACAGAAAGAACATAAAAAGGAGATAATGGCTCGCATCATAGATTAACAGGCAAAAGGTTACCTTAAACTCCTTGTTTTCTTTGTTAAATTGGATACGGAGACAAACTGTGGCCAAAGAAACCAAAATGTGTCAGCCTCCCTAGATGGAAGAAGAAATATACAGAGACAAATAATACAATATAATTCTGCTTACCAGCAAGGACTGCAGTTCCTATACAAGAAAACACTCCAGAGAGAAAAGAGTTGAAAGGAAATGATCCAACTATTGCCATGTAAACGACCTGATCACCAGTAACATAGACCAGGAATACTCAAAGCTTGAGAAAATAAAATGGCCAAGTATTCCTCCTCCCCCCTTTTTCCCCTCTTCCATTCTCCCCAAAATAAAAACAAAAAACAAAAAAAGGGACAAGGGTCTCTACATTGCTGAGCTGCATATAATGTGGATTTCATGCTTAGAACGAAAAATGATTCAACTAACTAGCACCGAATAACTTGAGCAAAGGGTTTATTTGGTATGAATTGTGGATTTTATGCTGTCAAATGCAGCCTACTTCTAATCAGATCAATCATCAAAATACAAAGCAAAAAATGAGCTTCCCAAACAAAATTAAGTTTTGGCCTGGATATAATTCAAGAATTTAGCCTTGTTTCTCTCCCAATTAAACATTTGGGAAAATAAGAAAGATCACTGCTTATGGTTAATCGAATCAACTAGTACACAATGTGTACTAAAGGAACAATACATAATTCACGATCATAGTCAACAATGAGCAAGCTAATCAGTGACAAGGATTGCAGATACAGGCAGATTACCTGAATCAGAGCGGTGAAGACCGCGAACATTACATACAGGTCGATGATCTGAAACAGACGAGCTCCAAATTCAGATTATTCATTGAAAGCAGTATATATATATATACATACATACATACATACATACATACATACATACATACATACAGAGAGAGAGTGACCTTGAGGTTAGAGGGAGTGATGGCGTAGGCAGAACTGAGAGAGCGAAAAAGGGCTTGAGCGTCCTTGGAAGCCGACGATCTCGACATTCTCTCTCTCACCGTTATTTCATCTTCTTCTTCTGTCACTCTCCCTTTAATTGCTGTCTCCGTGAACCGGATGAACGAATCCCTCTCTGAACAGGGTCGTCGTGACACGGGTCCGGCTCTGCTGGGTTACTTTTTAACAGATCAAAACGGCGTCGTTCTCTAACAGAGAGGTTTTCTTATTACAGTCCTCAAAAAATTAGTAAATAATTATTATTTATTTCCTCAAAGAACCAACGGCCTATTAGCTCAGTTGGTTAGAGCGTCGTGCTAATAACGCGAAGGTCGCAGGTTCGAGACCTGCATGGGCCATCCTGCCGGTTTTAAATCTTTTTTTTCCTTTCTGAAAAAAACTGTGGTGCTGTCCCCCCCTAAATTTTATTGGTAAATTACACAGCAACCCTATGTTGGTTCCATAATTGCCTCAACCTTGGCAATTGCACTTCCCTGGGATTGAGTTATGAATTTAGGAGTTACTGACTTCATGAGTTGATTAGTTTATTTTCTTCCCCGGGATTGTGACAACGGAGGAAAATGAGTTATTGGAATGAACAGAAACCTCAACTAAAAAATATCCTAAAAAAAGATGTTCAGACCAACCTTGGCACTCCACTTTTCGGAAGTGTCAAAGAATTTTTGAAGACTTAAAGCATGCAGTGATTGATGACCCCCGTAGTTGCTAGATTACACTAAGTCCTTTGAAGTACACACGGATACATAAGATGATGCCATAAATAAAATAAAAATTTATTTAATGTGCAATAAGTGTTAAATACTAATTCACCTCATTTATTATGAATATATGTCAATCGTGTCAATTATAAAATTGTACTGTGTCGAGTTCGAGTTGTAATTATGTTATTGGTCAGATTGACAACCCCCAATACCAATGCCCAGCACCTTGAATATAATTCTCTTATAAACAAAATCATTAGTTCTAGGAAGAAGTAGAAGAAGAAGAAAAAAAACTAATTAAAAATTAAATTAGTCGTAAGTGGGCGCGCATGAGAGAGATGCTGATGGTGAAGTGGAAGAGAAAAAAAAATAGAACACTGATGTGAGGTGACGAAAGGAAAAATGTTTTTCAGTTTGCAGGAAAATGAAAGAACAAGATAATTCATCTTTATATTTAAAAAAAACTAAATTATAAAAATTTTAGGCTAAATATAAGAGATAAAAAATAAATTCTGAGGAAATATATATAATTACATGTAGTTATAGATAATTAAAATAAAAAGAGAAAATGAGTATTATAAATATGGACATCAAACTCCCTTTCCCTCTTTTTATTAATGAGAGAATTACACCAAAACTTTCTAAGATTGGTTATTTAATCACTCAGATTCTCTGACGTTTGAAATATTATACACAGACTCCCTAAAATTTGTACACACGGAACACTTAGACCTGCCGTCAATGTCAGTTAATAAATTATATTCAGACCCCCTTAAGTTAAAGGGGTGTAATACTTAAATTTTACAACCAAAATTCATGTTCTATTATACTCCCTCTGTTTCTAAATATATGTCGTTTAAGGTTTTTGCATAGGGATTAAAGAAGCTATTAAATAGCTCTAATATGAGTAAAAATATAATTGCACAAAACCAAAATATTCTTATTCAATACGTATTGGGAAGAAAAAGAATATGAAAAGCACTTAGCCTCTACCTAATCTAATACATTGAAAAGTTAAGGGTAAATTTAGAAGAAAAAATATTAATTATATTTTGGTTTCATTAAACGATAGATATTACGAAACAAAAAAAATTGTGTAAAACAACAGATATTTAGGAACGGAGGGAGTAATATTTATTGAAATAAAATCAAAAAATAAAATTTTAATTTTTTCTTAAAAAATCATAATTAATATACAATTATACTGTCTATTAGAATTTAATTTGGTCGTTTAAACGACCAAATTAAACTAAAAAATTACCCCAATTAAAACTATAATATATTGTTTCCATTACATTTTGATCTCTTGTTTAATTTTTTAGTTTTATTCCAATAGAAAGTAGAATTGTATACTAATTAAAAAAAATTTAAATAAATTTTTTCTTTTGATTTTACTTTAATAAATGACATAATAAAATATAAATTTTATTGGTTGTAAAATTCATGTTTTAGTATGAAAGACATAGACCCTTTGTTTGATTTTTAAATTTGATTACAATAAATAATATAATTGTATATTAATTATGATTTTTTAAGAAAAAATTGACTTTTTATTTTTAATTTTATTTCAATAAATGATACAATAGAACATAATTTTGGTTTTAAAATTTAAAATATTTGATATTTTATTTTTAATTAAAGTATTTTTTATTTTAGTATAATATTTTAAATTTTAGAGATCTAAATATTATACGTCTATAAATTTCAAATGATTTAGATGTAATTTACTAACAAATATATTAATGGACATTTGACGGCAGAGGTCTAAATGTTATTTGCGTACAAAATTCAGAGGTTTGTGTGTAATATTTTAAACGTCAAGAAATTTAAATGATTAAGTAACTAATCTTAAAAAATCTGAGTGTAATTCTCCCATTATTAATGGTATAAAATTAATATTGACACCAGAAAAGTGGCTGTCATCATCCAAAATTATTTAAGATACTCATGTTGGCCATAAACATATCGATAGACTAGCAAAAACTCGAGTTCAACGTAAAATTCGAGTGTCAAAAAAATCAATCACATTCTTTAACAATTATTTTCCTTTCCTTTCCTTTCCTTTCCTTTCTTTAATTATATAATTTGAAATTAATTTCTATTCATTCTTTTTTAAAACAAAAATCAATAAAATATTCTCAAAATACATAACCTCAAAAAAAATGCAACATATACACATTTTCGTATATGAACAATGTTTGAAATAAAAATAGTATTTTTGAAAACAAAAATCGATAAAAAATTTAAAAATATATGACCTCAAAAAAATAATTTAGCACATGTACACTACCGTAGATGCACAAATTAATCAAAATATACGACATATGACTAACCACTGTGTCACACTGCCAGAATCATTACTGAAACAAAACACCACGAAATGGAATCATAGCATGGATTAGTTCACATTACAGTTTGCTGTCAAAGCTATAGTTATACTTCAAAAATACATTGTACATATATCACTTGGGTTTGTGTAAATATAACTTCAACAAAATTGTGCCCAAACCCATTTCGCCTCTGCTTGACATTTAGAGAAGGATTAGCTGAGTCTTTTCTTTGTAGTCGACTGCTCTGATAAATACCTATACAACAGTAAAAATATTCAAAATGCCTGTGATGTGAGCGAGCTTCAACAGGATGAACCGATGTACAGACAAATTAAAATTTGTGTCCAATCTGCTTCACCTAGCCTTACAAACCACATTTTGCATGGTGCGGGCAAACAATTTTTTTCATATATAGTACTCATGTATGGCATATTTACAAAAAAGCTAGGAATTGATTTCTCATATAGATTCTAGGATTTTAACGGGTTGATTTCATGATGATCCCCTAAACAAATTATAGAGGGATTTATGTCTCCCCTTTCGGTCATCATTGTGGATTAAACCATGTAAAGGCAGATGCAGAGAAACAGCAGGAAGTGTATGCTGGCTGCATGGACTCAGATTAAAAAATTGTTTGTCATGTTGAATTTATTTAGAGTTCCCATCTTCACAAGCCTATAGTGACAAGAAGAATTAATAAAATGACTGGATTTGATGATGAAACTGCAGTATTCTTATCAGTCCAGTGCAAGTAATTTAGGAAGAAAACAATGTGTTTAAGATTCATCCTATCGAAAAAAGAGGCTTCAAATAATACTTACTTGCCAGTATAGAACCCTGCCAAATACCAAGCATTTAAAACTGTAGTAAGATCCGTTTCAGAGCTGCTACTTTGTGCCAAATGACCTACATTGATATCCACCTCTTTCTCTTTCTCTATAGTTCAAGAAAAACAGAAAGGTCATATGGTAAGACACCATAAAACATATTCCTACTAGAGTTGCAGAAAATACATTTCATGATTACGTTTTGAGAACTCAATCAGCAAACCAGTAACAACACGCAATAACAACTTCATCATAGAGTGGAAGATTTTCTTTTTTTATTCTAGAATGCGCACACTAGGAAAAATAAAAGTAGATCATATGTATGATTCTATATTAAAAACAGATTGTAGAGAAGTGGTGACATTACCGAAATTTTCTGAATATTAGAATAGATAACTTTCCACAATAAATTATCTTTTTGTTGGCCCAAAACCAAATCTCGCACCATTATCTAGTTGTTCACCCTCCTCTTCTTGTCAAATCAGGGCTTACCCTTTATTCTTACTTTATTTTGGTGCAATATGCTTGAAAACATAGCTTTTGATTCCTTTTATTCCCACCCTCATAAGTAATCCAGATGCACCCAAGTCACAACCAGGACTTGAACCCCACGCCTCTCAATGTTTGGGAAAAGTTACCACTCATGCTAGAAAGCTGCACTGGTGACATAGGTGTGTCTACTATCATAAATCAATTAATGTTGAGATTTGTTTGGGTTGACACCTTAACTAATAGCCATTGATAGGAGGATTCTGTCCTGTAACAGAGAAAACAGGATAGCCTATGATATAGTAGAGGACATGGCTAGTAAAGCTAAGATAGGACCAACGCGAGTCAAGTTAAGACTTTAAGCTTTGATTGTTTGATTCAGTTGAATCTTATTGAAATATTTCGAAGGGAAAGCATGTACTGAAACCAGGACTTTCCATCTTAATGCCAACATCCTCCTAGTGAGTGAGAAGAGTCTCTGGCCTTCATCTAACATTTACCATAATCCTTCATATGAAATACTGTGCATTTACTTGTGAACAGTAAGTACTCTATGGGCTCGTTTGGTTGTCGGATAATAAAAGAAAAGATTGTATTAGTTAATACTGGCTAATTTTGTATAAGCGGATAAAACACAAGACTAAATATGAGATAAAGTTAATACTTATTGTAATCCAGTGTTTGGTAGTGGGATAATAGAATTTTAATTACATATTGACCAAAAAATCATCAAATTTGTCTAGTTATTAAATGTTTTTTTTATTTGGCAGGTAAAATAGTAAAT